GTTTCCTTTTGTAAGTTTGGATATACGATGATTTAGACTATCAAAATGTTTATGTTTTTTTTATTAATTGAATTAACTAGTATACGTTTATCATTTAAATTTTTTAATTTTGTTTTTGTTGGCGATAATTTTCTTTAACATAAACTTACCATTGCTTTTTTTTGTGAACTCCATTATTTATTATCAAATTAATACTAACTTGGTACATATTGGATCTGTCAAATTTAAACGCAATTAGAATTAGAAACCTCGACATCGTTCTTATATAATATAATTGAAAATTTATTGTGCAATAGAATCCGAAGCGTCCTTGAGTCACAAGTAGTTAGACGGAGAAACCAAACCAGCTTACCAGATTTGGCTATGTTTAATATAAATTTTAGTGATTTGATACTTGCAAAATGTAAAAAGTATTCGAATGAATACTGAACGGAAAATTCTCATACACAAGCGTACATTTACTAAAACGAATACCAGAGCATATCGCACTTAAGACTCTAACGAATGGTTTGAGGTTTTGCAATGCCTACTGAAAATGCCTTAATAGATTCTAATATGTACGACCCACCAACAAAATTGATTACAAGTAAGCAGCGAATTGGTTGAATATGTTAAACCGCATTTTTAGAAGTTGCAGACGGCGGTAGTGAGTGGTAAAAATCGTATGTACTAGTAATGTGCATGGAAACTATTTTGATTTTTCATATCAGGTAGCAACTCCACACCTTTGATTATTGGAGTGCAGCTGGAATTTGTAGTCAAGTGGAAATCGATCCATATATACAGCAGTACGCATGATTTGGGCTTGGACTTGTTTATTTACTGTACTTAGTAATTTGTACAAAAATAAAAGTAGTCAATATAACCAGTAAGACCGCATTAGTCCTCATGCACAATCATAGCTAAATAAGTATTATTCTTTACTTTGTAAAAAGCGCTACTGTTTGAGATAATTTATTTTCTTTAAAAAACTATTTCAATTCGATTAACTTATAAGGTTGTTAGTTAACATTTGATAAATTTGTTTTCACTACAATTTGTATATGTTGATAAGGCAGTGTGAAATCCCTTCATATCAACAACCAAATATTTTGAATAGTTAAAAGTATGAAACTATAGCACTTTTAATTTGTTTGTTTTGAAATCATCTACCAATAAATTTAGGATAGGAATAGGAATAAATGGGCATGGTGCACTGCGACCATGATTTTTTGTGCTGCAACAGACCCTAACCGAACAGAAGACATTCCGCCTTCCGAATGAATGTCAGAATGTCGGCCGTTGAGGACCTCCTAATTTCAGAAGAGGAGAGTAGTTCTTAACTCAGTGACCTCCTCCTGGCCCAGATCAAGGCTGGGCAATTACAGAGAATATGACAGGAAGTCTCGTCTGCTTCTAAGCAGAGTCAACAATCTATCTCTTCGCACAAACCTATTTTGTTAAGGTGATAACGCAGTTCATGGTGATCCGTTTAATATCCCACCAGCAAGCTGTAGGGATGAACCAGCTCTTTTGCCTGACGGTTACCTCGACTGTTGCGCCAGTAGCGACTTCTCTCGGTGAAAACACTTTATCAATCAGTGACTTAGTTGTAGGCCAACTTAATTCACAATATGGCTCCGCTGACCAGGCACCCAATAAAGCATCAGTTTGTTTTTGCTTCCCAGCTGCTGCAGTGTATCATAGCCGTCTAATAGAAGCTTTGAGGAAAACAATTGATTTAGGATACATTGTTAATAAATTTATAAATTTATGTTTCAAGATGTTGCTTAAAAATTAATTTTTTATATCCAATATTCATGCGAAATAAAAACCATAAGAAAGTTCAGTGATGACTTCAAGCTGTTTTTTGGCGACTTGCGATGAAGTCACCTTCTCTAACGAGTGTAATTCCTAACAGTTAATTAACTGCATAAATAATAACTTAATGCTTAGAATTAGAAGTACTTAGAGCTAACTTCACATAATTAAAACTTAAGTCTTAATATTAACTTAAGTTATACTTAAGTCATCAACTTTATATATGTTGAGGCTAGTTGAGTTGAGTCAGTGCACCTGAGCACTTTTACTCTCTATTAACTGCGAGGTTTCTACAAAACTCCTTTTTGCGCCTTGACTGGCTTATTGTTTATCACTTCATTAGACTAAGCAATAATTGACCTCAGATCTGCATATCTCCCCGAGGAGCCTGTAACCATTCTGAGATTTGATAACGCGGTGTTGGTAAGTCTGTCAGTTTTCGCAAATAGTTTCAGGGCTCTATTCTTTATGTATTTTTTGATGGGATCAATCTTGAGGTCCCTGAGGATGTCATTCGTCCTAATGTACCAAGGAACATTACTTACTCAAGTTTTACTCAACTCAGTTTTGTTATCTAAATAATAGAATCTAATACTGTGGAATCGAAGATTAATATACATATTTAAATTATTGTTTATACCTGAAAAAATTTTCTTATATATTATATATTTAAATATTCTTTGTAGAAATAATCAAAACAGCATTTCGAAATGCTTTATACTAATAACTTTTTCGTGTTGAAAGCTTTCTAATAAAAATTCTTCACATATAATTTATTGGTATAGTTTATGCATATTTTTATTTGCACTAATATAAAACTAAACTAGTTACTTTATATTCGCTTAAACTAGTACAATACTAGTTCCACTAACATGTATTCGAAGCGTACTAACATACATACTTTGATTATTTTACAAAAAAAAAATGCATTGCATATGTTAAATTGCGCCTGTGGAGGCCAACTTGTTTTCTATGATTAAAGCGATTTTCGAAACTAAATTTAAATTGCATTTACGAAATTACCAAAATTTATATCAACTACCTTTACTATATATACTAACTAGATATTCTCTTACATGCATATATAAGGCGAGTTACGTATTTATTAAACTATTTTAAGTGATCTGAAGAGCTGAAATATACAAATAAGACACAAAAATATTTCTAAAGTTCGAATACTAATTTTTATTATAATTATTAATTAATTTTATTTTTATTTATATTTTACAAAATTTTATTATATATATTATATTTACAAATTATTTTATATTATACAATGTAGTATTGAAAATAATTCGACTCGATACCAAAACAAATAAATTAATAGTAATACAATCAAAAACACTATTTTAAGGACACCTCAACTAAACGGAATCATATGGGGACCTTATAGAGAATCGTAGCTAAACTGTATTTCTTTTGTTGACAATATGAAAATAAAACTATTCTCTCTTCTTCTCTTTTCTATCTTTCTTTTGTTAACAATATCTTTTTCTCTCTTCTGTCTTTTTTTTTGTTGACAAAATGAAAATATAACTATTCTCTCTTCTCACCTGTCATTGATGATATTTAATCTATTTAAACTTTCATACACATAGTCAGAGGGAGATTTATATGAGATATAAATCATATATATTATGTTACTTATGGAATGATAAACAATTGCGTGATATCTGTATATTTTTCTGTTTACTGTTATTATTATTTTTATGCCCAGCGTTCTGTAAGTTCTATTCTATTCTATTTTATTCTATTAATTACTATAAGTTCTATACTAAATCCATTCTCATAAAAAGATATAGATATAAAGATAAAGATATAAAAGGACTGGAAAATATAAAGGGAAAGTTTTAGTTAGTTAGTTGAAATGGAGGTAGGAATGAATCCTCCCTAACTAACTAAGAAAGCCGTTTGAAATCCACAAATCCTCGTAATAATGGATAGATCAAGTTAGAACCAGCCAGAAGTAACATATTTATAAAGACGAGAAGGAAAGTTATAGAATGAAAAAGAGAGATATGGAGATATATAAAAAGAAATAAAAAGTATAAGTGAGTTATGTGGAAACTCAAAAGAGATGAAAGGAAGATATATGTATGAAAAGAGAATTACAATAAGAATTAGATGTTAGTTGATAAATGAATATAACTAAGAATAAAACATTAGATAACATTTTAGTTGCAATTATAATATAATACTATAATATATTATATTAATATTTCTCGTGGCTAACATTTTGACTTTAGGTTAATGGGAAAACAATTACCGAAAATATATAGGAATGAAAGGACTTAAAACCCTAACATAATACTCTCAATATTCATACAGACTTTTACAGATTGTAAAATACAAAAAAAAAGACACCGTCTTCAACGGAGTCTACTATGTTGAAGTGAACTGTAGAGACTCAACTTGACTTACCGATATCTGTAGGTGTATCTTAAGCAAAAGTATTTGTCTGTAAGAAAACGGGCCAGATTTGTTTATTTAAAGAAAAAAACTAACTGCACAATAAACTTCTTTGTGGACAGTCAAACGGCGCTAAAAGCAATACCTTCATAATGAGTATATTTCAAAAATGTTCACTAGTGTAAGAAAGCAATAGACAAACTGAGTGACCCATAGACGTGCGCTCTATATATATTTGTGTCTTCATTCGCTCCACCATTCTCTTGCTACGAGATTGATATATCTTGGTATAGCTTTGTAATTATCAAATATACAAATATAAAATTTACTCCTAATTTTATATAAATATATATGTATATTGTTATTTACATATATATTTATATATAAATAATTTAATTGTTTTGATAACGAGTCTCTGCAATGACTTTAATCAAAAATTAAAATACATAACAGATCGGCAAGGAAGTAATTTCGTTTCTGAAGTATAGATATGTATAAAGTTTAATAATGTATAAAAAGTTATATATATTAATATAAAGAAAATTTGTGAAATCGGAAATTACTTTCTTGTCACTCCAATATATAAAAAATATAATTATTAAGGATTCGATTTGGAGCTGTTTGAGTTGTTGTAAAGAATAAATGATATATAAGTTTTATATACAAAACAAATGAATAGTAATAATATAATTTATGTAGTAAATTTGTTAAAATAATTTAAATAATTTTTTATAAATAATACAAATAAAAAAATATGTAAATAAAAATACAATGTATATGTGATGTAAAAGAAATACTACAATTTTTACTTAGATTTAGCTTCATTTTAATACTAAGAAAATATATATATATATAGAAAAGGCTTATAATAACACCAAAATTAAAAAATAATATGATTAATAAAATTAATTTGTTTACAATTAACTCATAAAGACTCGTACATTAAAAATAAAATCCTAAAATATACTTTACTATGTGCGTTTAACAGCGTCTTCGGATGGCGGCCGGACCCAACCACCATAACGTCGCTCCATTTCTCGTGCTACAGCCAGACATAAATGATCCTGTCCCGGATTGGCAACAACCTGTATGCCCATCGGCAAGTTGCGTCTATCCAAACCGATCATACAATTAGTCACTGGCAAACCAAGCGTGTTGAATATTGCCATATACATTGGCTCTAATAATTTATGATAGATTTGATAGTGCTGATGTGCTGTATTCGGAAATGTTGGATACAAGAACACACCATCTGTGCCAAGTAGCTCTTTGAATTCAGTCTTTAGTGCATCAATGATAGTGGCCAGATGTTTGTGTCGTGAATTCGGTATGATTTTCATGAAATTCTGTAAATGGCCGAATATCACAGATGGCAGTATGCTATCCGAACAACCAAAGAAATATTTAACAGTTTCGGTGCATACAGTTTTGGGTCGTTCACCTTCTTCAGTTTTATTATATATGGTTTCAATATTTTTCATAGTCAACATAGCTGAAAGTGAAATATCAAGTGAGAATTTCATTTTCCTTATGTTAACGCGTTTTGCATTAAAATCCGTAGCAACACGATTAATGGCTGCATGCAAATCACGGCTAAGCGGTCGCATCATACCTGAAGGACCATCATTATCCATGAAATAGAAACGTATGCTTTGTACACTAATTTCTTTATCAAGCGTTAATTTCGGACCTAATGGATCGTTCATACATTTTAAGAGTAGTGGTAAATCTTTAGCGTAACGTGTCATTGGAGCAATTGTAAAGAAATCTCCCCATTTTGGAAAATCACTAGTTGGATGATGACCTTTAAATGATACCGCATATGGTGTGGGTTTATGTCCCCAAATACCGCTAAACATAGCAGGTAAACGTGATGAACCACCAATGTCAGAAGTTAATCCTAATAATGAAGCACCACTTGCTAATAATGCTGCTTCACCACCCGATGAACCACCTGGAGTACGTTTCAGATCATATGGATTTTTTGTTTGACCAGTGACATTGTTATAAGTTTCCCATAGTAAACATAATTCAGGGGTATTGGAGACAAGCAATATTATGCCTCCGGCACGTTTTATTAATTCTACGACAGGCGCATCTGATTTGGCGATTTGTGGTGTTTTGAACACACGTCCCGCTTGATTTGTCATACCGTTTACAGCGATACTCTCTTTCACTGTCACTGGTATGCCAAGAAGCGGTGTATGTTCTTCCATTTCTTCCACACTATTTATGCCAAGTTCAATTACGCGATCCACTTCACGTGCCTCCTTCAATGCTTCTTCAAAGCGATCTTGTACGATTGCATTGATGAGTGGATTCACCTGCTTACACCGCTCGATATAGGCTTCAACGACCTCTTCGCTCTTAATCTGAAAGCAGAAATGAAAGATATAATAAAGTTTTAGTTAATAAAAAAACTTAAATAAAAACTTACATAATATATGAACTTTTTATATTATGTATATTGTCTATTTAGTATATATGTCAAAAATATATATAAGTAAATGAAATGATAATAAAATTGGACTTTCAAAAACTGGTAAATGATATTTGATTACCGATTCGTTAAAAAATTATGCACGGTTTTCTTTTTTACCTATACGACATAAATTGTAAGTTTCTACTTTCTTCAAAAATAGTTTTACTTATCCTATTTTTTGAGTTTTAGTTCTTAACTGGTATTCGTGCAGTCTCTTCTTTCTCGGGTACCTTCCAAGAACATATAGTCTCTTCTTTCTCTTTACAATATCTACATATCCGCATATATGTGATACGAAGCTTGTTTAGGTGCTAGTTGAACCTATAATGTTCTGTTAGTATTCTAGTTATAATATCTAAGTCGTAGAAGACCTAACCTAAGTCGTTCTTCTTGAAGGTTGTAGCTTTTTGCAAGCGATTTGATATACATATGATATACCTAATAGGTTGTTAAAAGATAGAGTTCTTTGGTTTTCTTCTATATTCTTTAATAAAAAACAAATTATTACTTTATTCCACAATATAAACTTAAATATAAACAACCAATTAAATACGGTTGTAAATGCAAGGATGCTGCTCTTTTTCTTCCAAGCTCGTTTCCCTCACAGCAAATTTTGGTACACATAGAATTTATAATCGATTGGTTTTGCCAAGTACAGTCAGCTGTTCTTATCAATCTAAGACCGATTTTGATGTTAACAAAATAAGATCTGAGTGCCTGGTTATCAATCACAATTGTTTTTTTTTTTCAAAATTTGATCTCACCATTCTTATCATACTCTCACATCATACTTAATTCTAACATGCAGTGAGCTGAGAGTGACCATAATTGACGATACCTAACTATGGTACAATGATCAAACACCAGAAAGGTTATGAAAATTTGTGAAGTGCTATGTTTACCTTGAAAAGGAAAGTACTATCAATAGCAAATATTATATATTGTTATCGAAATGTTTGAGGAACAAAATCGCAAAAAAAGTTTGTACGAAGGAAGAGGAAGAAAACGGCCTTCCATTCAAATAATATGCAATATCACGATTCGTTGATGTAGGTCAAGTAACTAAATTATACTTTGATTGGTTTTGTACTTTAGCGATATTTTTACAGATCTAAAAAGAATACTTCAACAATAAAGTCATGTCCGAAACCTGGTACTTGGAATAGATATTCAAACTTGGGATAGATATTTCAACTTGGAATGTTGGAATAGACTTGACTTGCTATAGAGAGAGAGAGTACACAGATAAATGAAATTGATATTTGAAAAATATATATTATTGTTTTATAATAGCTGATGGTAGAACTTATTGAATAACGAGTAGGAAGCTTTAAGATACCTCGTACTTTGGAAATTATTGCTTTAAATATTTCATAGAACTCTGTAATGATCTCATATGAATTATTGCTTTCTTAATTACTTTGTTTATTTCTTATTTACTGAGATACGTCATTTTCCATATCAATACACTTAGAAAAACATTTGCGTAATTATAGGCAATTTGCAATTAATTGAACAGGAAATTGCATCCAAAAAAATGATAAATACGTTATTAGTTGAAAACAAAACTTATTTTTTATAATTTTAAATAAAATTTCTAGTTAAAAACTTATTATTTAAAGTAAGTTATTATTTAAAATAAGTTTTTAATAAAAATTTTTATTTTAATTGCAAAAGTAACTTGCTCGAAATGATTAATACTTAATTACTCATAAATTGCGCAAGCGGAGTAACTAAAATCCATTTAAAGGTCTTCAACTAGAATATTTCAACATTGAAATTTTTTATATCATATATGATATTAAATTATTTTACTGTTTTGACTACAGAAGACAACTAAAATCTATGGTTCAGTGAATCTGGCTTCAAAACGAAGGCTTGGATTTTTACATTAATAATAATAATTTTTTTTACTTTTCGCGATTCAAAATATTCGCTTTAATTTTGACTAGAAGCGATGGCAATGTTTTTCAATGACTTCAGGCAGCCATAAATATACTGAACGAGTAGAAATGTTTTTAATGCAACTGCGGTTACTTAGCAAAGTAAAAACAATTGTACAATAAACATAATATTTGAATTATCAAGTACAAAGATACAATGAAGCATGGGGCATTTTATAGCTTTTAATTTGAACTACCTTCGAAGTGTCTTGAAAGCTTGGCACGCGGCGGTATGGCAGATACATGAATCGACGCAGTTGAATTGTTAGAGATACTTGTTTCCATATGCTGAATGCATTAATAAATTTATACAGATACATCTCTATTTATTAAATTTGAAATATGTCAAGTGATATATAAAAATAAGTGGCTACGAATTAATCTAGACGAATGACAGTGACACGCATTGAAAATGCCGCTACAGAAAGGAACGATACCATTATAGTCGGTCTGGTACAAATACAGAGCAAATTTTAATATAAAATCAAATGTACATATGTAAAAGTATTTTATTAATTGAAAAAGTTACATCATTTGCAATATCAACAATTCCGACAACACGAATCAAGAAGTACTGGAACCGAGCCGAACAAATAAGTCTTTATTTCGCCGTTTAACTTGAAACTCAATCATGAACCCTAATAAAAAATAACCATGTATTCAAAATCAGTATTTAGTGGCAGTAAGAAATGTGATGGGAGATTCTGTAGACCCTACAACTGTGAACTGTATATGATCTACCTCGAATCAGAAACAGTTACAAAATAAAGCTCTGTAGACTCCGGTATGCTAATCATGTATATCTCACCCATATGAACTGAGAAGTTTGCACAGATAACTTTTTCTGGCAGATTTTATTGTAAGCGTTAGTGAAGCAAAACATAAATAGATGAAATTTACTGGTGCCCAATTGGCTAATATCGGCACTTCAAAGGTTTTTTTTATTATGTATTTAATATAACAATAGATATTATTGTATGGTTATGGTATATAAATTATTGTATGGTTAATTGCATAAATTAAAAAATTTGACTTTTGATACAGTATTAATAACAAATATGATGTGTTACATATAGCAAAGCCTCAAATACTACCTTAAAGCAATTACAGGTAGCTCAAAACCTGGCTTTAAGAAAACTGTTTAAGATGCCATGGTATATTAGATCAACAGACATACATAGAGATCTTAGGATTGACTCAATGAAAAAATATATCAGAGACAGAACTCTAAAATTATTCACTAAAGTTGATACGCTAATTAACCCCGCCCTAACAATCCTCAAGTCCACTTCTAGACTCTCAGGAAGATATGCTGATTTAAGGTCCGTCATCAACTAAAAGACAAATATATGGTATGATTTTTTTTTTTAGCCTAGTTAAAGCCCAGTGTGGGGTAGAGATAAGCTCCCCAGCCATTATAGAGTAAAAGTACGTAATAGCACTAACTCAAGAAGAAAAAGAATCAAGATATGTTGATTATTTATAGCTAACTAAGTTATATCTTATAATGTTATTATAAACTGAAATTATAAGAATAAACATGTTTGGTGTACTAAAAATAACATCTATTAATTATTATTTCTTTGGTCAATACACTTATGCTTTTCATAAGACCATAGCGCGAAAAACAACTGTCTGTAATAGTTTCTTAACACAAATCAGTAGCAACCCTTAAATATAAGACATAACAGTTGAAAGAGTATTTTAAGATTATATAGATCTTGTAATCCTCCTTATACAGACACAAAATAATTAAAAATATAATATTCAGTCATCAAAGTCAGCGATTTGTAATTGGATTCAATGGTGAGAGACGTTTGACGTTCAAAAGACTTTGTCTTTGATTGGAAGAGATGCAATGGGCAACATGTATACGAAGAAGTGATATAGGATCACCACAGATGCCGCAGGACTATTGAGGGGCACCTCCCAGTAACTATTTGTGGGAATTGAATGAGCGAATAATTTTTAGACGTAAGAGCACAGTGATTTGATTTTTTACAGATGTATCAGAAAGTACGGCCTTATGTCATTTGAATTGTGGGAACGATCATTATCGTCACACTGTATTTAATGAGAATTAATTAACTAATTATATTTAATAAACTATATATTTAATTTATTAATTTATATAATGATATAGTTAATTAATTGTAGTTAATTCTCATTAAATACAGTGTGACTAATCAGAAAATATGCATTTCAGATACATTAATATGCAAGTGTCTAGCGTTAAGAAGAAAATTTCATGGATTTTTTCTACCTCAATGCAATTCGTCCAATATATGAGTATATTATGTATAATATTACAGGTATTAAATGCAATAGCTAGCAAGATAGTTAGAACATCCATTCCTCCTTCTGTTATTATGAACTCTAATAATCTAGAGGTCAAATGTTCGTATAAACCTTAAGTAGCGCACATTTGAAATTATCTTTAAAATAAAATATTAATTAAAGTAAAAACGTGCAAAAAGCTTGAAAAGTTTTAATTCAAAAATACAATTTTTTTTATTAATTTAAGACATTAAAATAAATTATGGTTCAAAAAATATATAAGCATTAATAATAGGTTTATAAAATTTTTTTGAAAATGATATTAAATAGCAAACTGACAATCCAGCGTCTTCGCCATAACGACCTCAGTTGAATACGTGTATTTGGAGCAGCGACCGCAATCATAGCAAAAATATTTTATAAAAATATTGTATCTATGAGATACTATAGGAGTATGTGCATAATGTTGTATAATATACTAGTATAAGCAGATGTGCGTAGAGCGCAAATGCTGACAATGTGTATGGTGTAATAATGGCAGTGCTTAGAGTATTCAACAGAGAGATATCATCATCATCACGGCTTACTAACGACAGTTCATTTTAGTCATGATATTGATGGAACCAAAGGCCAAACTGCAACATTGTAGAGACACGTAAATTTGATGTGT